ACTAAATTATTACATTTCGTTATCAACATCTTCGTCGTCATTTGATTAGGAAAATAAAAAGTATAATAAATTCGAATTTAAAAACAAATGAGGGACAAAAAAAGGTTGTCAGATAGATGTACTTGAGTACCAAGCAAAAGGTAAAGTTATATTAAGAAGCTTTTGAAATGTTGTCCGGACTAACTAAAGTTGGGAGATTGGACTAAATAGGGCATTAATACAAAATTTATTAAAGATTTTAAAATCTGGCAAATATCGGGGGGGAAAAAAATATAGCGTTTGAATACCTAGACATATCAAAAGGGGAACCAAGCAAAAACCTGTTGTGGTAAGTTATTATTTCTAACTTCAGAAACATGTTAACTGGGTAAAAAGATAGATTGTTATTTTTGCTTATATGCTCATAAAATCAATAATCTCAAAACACTAGTATACTTTTTATTTTTTTCAAACCATCAAAAAAGGTGTGTAATGAACTCACAAAAATAAAAAGAAATTTCTTTAGGGTTAGAGTTTTTGAGAATAAGAAGATAGCTTAGGTCAAGTAGAAAAACTTATGTAAATCCAGGGAAGAAAGATGGGATGCTATAAGAGATATTTGAAACTTTAATATAACTTTATTAGTGTTAGATAAAAATAACAAATACATTAGTAAAAAATAACAAGTAATAAATATTATTCTCTCTATAGAGACATGCGCAACGCATGATAATTCTCGCAATCTATATTTCAAATACATAACAAAACAAAAACACAATGAAACTCTTTTTATACTTTTATTATGAAATAATTGCAACAAAAATTGAATATAAAGTATATATAATTGTTAAGACTATATTTCGTTCACTTAATTCTCATGCATTTCAGAAACATCTCTATTCCATATTCAAGTTAAAATCAACTCACAAAAATACTCAAATTCCTAGTGCCTTTGAATCCATGATAATTGATCAAATTTCAATTCCTTGAATACTCAACAAGCATCCAATGCATTAAGTTCAAGAGTTTTAAGATTCCTAATGAATAAAATTTTATTCCTAGATACAAGCTTTGTTAGGCATTGAATTTCAGTTCTAGGTTCAAAAGACATTTTTCAATGCCTAAAAACTACAAATCATGGATGAGTGGCAAAACCAAAGAAAACATTAAGCATGAAAATCAAATACTAACATTGAAATGGAAAAATATATGTATTAATATCACAAATACACAAAAAACTAGTTTATTACATCTAATTTCAACAAATAGGGTTAATTCTCCATGATGGAGAACTTAGGGTTTACATAGAAGAGACAGAGAAGAAGTGAAAACCAAAGCTAAAATGCAAGCCTTATCCAAGGTTCATCGTAGTTGCTCCATGCTCCAATTGTGCCTCCCCTTCACATTAACACCTTTAATTCATAGATCTTGACCGTTATCAACCCTAGAAAAAACACCATGGATAAAGATTGAAGACCCAAGGAAGAGGTAGAAAGTTTCTAAACACCTCAAACAACCTCTAAGGGCCTCTCTCATTTGCTCTAGAGGTGGAGAGAAATCATGGGTCGAAGAGAATTAGTCAAACCCTCGTAGAAGACATGTATAAATATCCATTTTTTCCATGTTAGTGATGTCATCACTCGATGTCATTTCAATACCTCTAGGCGCCATCAATTAAAATGCGAAACAACAACCATATTGAAGCCACCGCCCAACCACAACCAAGCATTGATAGCCAACCACCTTTAAGTGTCTGATGCTCAGCAACTAAATTTTCTCCACAATGATAAGATATTGTTCGTTTTGGGTCAAGCCCTCACAGATTTACTTTTGGTACTACTCCAAAAAGCCTCTTAATAATGGAGATATGTTATGTGTATATAAACCCATGTTCATCTCTTATTTTTTCCGATATGGGACTTTGTTTGTACTCAACATCCTCCCCTCAAACAAAGGACCACCTCCCTTACAGCAGAAGTCTTTTTCTTATCCTCAAGTACACCATGGTTAACACTCTCTCTTTCACGATCCATGGTCAAACACTGAGCATCTCTTGCTCTCCACCTCTCATGTGGGACTTTGTTTGTATCCAACAGGATGAACCACTATGCTTTAGGTTTCCTAGGCTTTATACAATCTCTAATTGTAAAGATAGAACTCAAGGAGAGGTTGGGGTTGAGAGGAAAATACATGGATGTGGAATCAACATGAAAGAGAACTAGTTGGGATTAGCAAACATCTTAGGAGCTACAAATTCTTCAATCTATAAATGGCCAAAGGGTGAAGAAAGGAAGCCCATATACCTATGTTTGGAAGGAAGATGATAATGATGTCTTCACGATAAAGTCAACATATAACATTCTATAGAGAATCCTAGATGTGGAGGTGTGTAGTGCATATAAATTGATATGGAGAACTAAGGCTATTCCGAAAGCACATATATTAGGTCGGAGGGTATTGCTGGATAAACTATAAACAAAGAATAAATTACTTGTAAAAGGTAATACAATTGCAAAATAACTTATGTGATATCAATTAGTTGCAATTTAACAAATTGTCCCAATTGGCAATACTATACTTATCAGGCAACTCATTGTCTCTAAAGTTTGCTACCACTTGGACTCCACCCTTCCAATTACCTAGATTGGGCCTAGCTTCTTGCAAATTGGGTCCTAGCTTTGACTTGACCACTTCATTCGTGGATCAAGTGTTATGAACTTTTATGAATTATCAAAATATTTAATGTTTTATTTAGTAATTTATATTATTAAGTGAGAGGTTACACTAAGTTTTAAAAAATTAATATTTATAAAAGTAATTTCAATTTATAGATTTAAATAATATATATAAATTTTTAATTTTAAATAATTTTTTAATAATTATCTATCAATAATTTGATTTTAATTATCTTATTCTTGTAAATAATTAAATAAAATTCATTAATAGTGATAAACCGTTAGTAAATATCTGCATGTTAAGTTAAATATTATAATAATCATATTCCTAATAAATTAGTAAATATTCATCCAGACTACGAATTTTAATCACAAATATATATATATATATATATATATATATATATATATATATATATACTTTTTCTTTTTACAAAATTATTGTTTATGTAGAAAAATTAGTAAACACTCTTGATTCTTGAACTAAACACTTTTTGATTTTGAACAAATAACATAAATATACAAAAAGAAAAGGATTGGAAATAATTGATTACAATAGTTGAGTTTAGCAGAGAAGTAAATCTTCAATAAGATTTAAATTCTTCCATATTTTCTGAAATCACAAAGTTTTAAATGATGATATAAAGATCAAATTTTTCTAATGAACTTACCATTTTTCTGATAAAATAAAGAAAAAATGGGAGAATTTAAAACTGACAAAATCTTGGAGGGCTATTAATTATGGTTGGTTTTATTTAAATAGGATATGTTTATTATTTCCTCAGACAAATAAGAAAGTGGTGTTTATCCTGTAAGAATTTATAAAGTATGTCTCGGTAGGTAACCAATATTTTTCTTCCATCACATCATCGTCATATGTTATTTGTTTTTAATGTTGAGTTAAGCATAAATGTCTATTCACAAGGTTTCTGTTGTGTGTCCCTTACAAGGTGCACATGATCCTGTTTGATTTTTGTCACACTTTTACTTCAGTTCTTAAACTTAATTTGATCATGTGTTACATAAAAATTAAAATGTGTAAAATGATTAAAATGACAAAAGATAAATTAAATGTTTAACTATAAGTTGAAAAAATATGCAAATTCATTAAATTTGTTTGTTACTTCATTTCATCCATGTCCTATTATTCTTCCAGGTGTCCTTGATATTAATTAAGAAATTTAAAAGGATGATAAGGACAAAATGATCTTTTTGTGAGTGCGAGGACCATTATATTTTATATAATATTTTTCATCAATACCAACCCAAATCCAGTATTCATGAGTATTTAAGTTGACTAATTATTTTCATTAACCATAACATTAATAAGATAATAAGATTCGGTTGGTGATCGATTCATCATATCTCATAAATTACATAAATATTTCAAATTAAGTTACCAACTACCAACATTTTTCACCTTCTTAATCTACAACAATAACGATTATAAGTTTAGTGTAAAACTCGATGAACAAAGATTTTATGAGTTTCTTGAAAATTCAACATCTATATTGTTAGAAAATTTGCATATTAAGAAAGTTAATGGTGTAGAATTTGAAACATTGTGAAGTACCTAAAGAGGCTTAATGTGTGTATTTTTCACTTAACAGGCAAAATATTAGCAAAAAAGGAAGAAGGGGTAGTTGATATTATTAGTGGCAAAACAACCTAACTTGGCTTTTCAGATACAAATTAGATAACCACTATCCTTCTTCTACAAGTTTTATTCAAGAATTGTGTTTTTAGAGTATCTTATAAGCAAACTAAGAAGTCTACATATACTAGTTAGTTGGCTCAGTTGTTGGTTTCACAAATTAAGATTTGACGTATCATTTCCTTTCATTTTCTTAAAATTCTTTTCTTCACTTTCCAAAACTTCTCTGGTTAAGCTTTTGATGGAGTGTTCTCAATTTCATGTTAAAATAACTAATACAAACACACACACACACTTTTTGATTGAGAATATAATTTTTCTCTAACATAAATTAATAGTTGAATATATGATGAAAATTAAATTTGATTGGAAGTTTAACGTCAATTAGAGATAGGACTAATTTATAGCATATAAGTGGTCGATTTTGTAAGATTGAATTAGACTTAAAATTCACTTCTAAACTAATTTATGATAGAAAGATGATGAAAAATTTAATGTTAATCGTTGAATTGAAAAAAAAATTGATCATGAAAGAATATTCATAAATTTTATTTTTTTTAAGGTTTAAGATCAGATGTTGTGTTAATTAATTCCTTGTATGATTTAGATTCATATCTATTTGTTAAGTACTCTTAAAAATAGTCATAAGAGCCTAACTATACATAATGATATTATTAAAATAAAATTGGGTGATGTAAAATTAAATGTTGCAAGATAACCCATTAAGTGAAAAAGTTGAGTGAATGGAATTAAGAAAAAAAAAGAAGGGATGGAGAATCAAAATTCACCAAGTGGACTTGGCACTATAGGAATTGGACCAATCAATTAAAATTGTCCAATATGATTTGCCATAACCATTCTACTAAGAGGACTAGGCCCAAGCTTCTTTCTTCTAATCATACTCCTCTTCCTAATAACTTCCATTTGATTTCTTCTTCTTATTTGCATCATTGCCTCTTCCTCAATCACAAACCTTCTCATTAGAACATCATCGGTCAATGATTTTCCCCTGAAGACTCTCCTTCCCTCTGTGCTAAGCCTGGCACTAGGACTTCTTTCATGTGCACTTTGCAATGGCTTTGATCTTGGGTAACTATTGCTTCTTCTGGGTGGTGCTTCAGCTCTCAAAATCTCATTATATGAATACATAGGTGCACAAAGACAAACCCTTGTGAAGGATGTTGCAACCTTCAGGGAGGCACATTTTCTTAGCTTGTTCTTGTTACCACTCGGTGTAGGAACTTGAGGGGATTTTGGCATTGATGGTGTCTTCCATATGGTTGAATTACCTGCGGGAATTTCTGCGGATTTGGAAATACTTTTCCATAGACTAGTCACCTCCATTGCTCTTTGATACCAGGGCTTCCTGCAACTTCAAAAACAAGTGCTTATTATGCCTCAGTTATTCAGATCATGCACCGGCTTCTTCCTTCATGAATCACAACACCCTTAACTACATTCATTTCTCCAAAATAGCATGCACAAGTGGAACACAAATTCAAGTTTTTAGCTCTTTCACATGCTTAAGAAACCCTTTGGAGGGTCATGTTTAAGCCTCGTAACAGATTTAATCTAAACTCAGAATTTCCAAATTTAGGCTCACTATTGAAAAAGCTAAAAAGAAGGCCAGCCAGAGAATTGACTTTCCTATAGGCATGAATGATGCTGTTTTTGGGTTTGGTTGGTCAAATTCTTAACATCATTAAGGTTGAAAGGCAGAGGTTAAACTTGGTCTACACCACATCTTTTGACTAGTTCAAGGCCTTAGAAGGAATAATGTGAGCATTTTCTCAACAACGAACAAAAAAAAGAAGCAAAAATGGATATTGTTCCGGTACACCCAATTTACAGAAACATTTATTAGTAAGCAAAGTAGAATATAAAGTATTAAAGTGAGTGAGGATACATAACATACCTTGAGTTTGAATCGTTCTTTGGATCTTGCATGAACAAAGAAAAGTGAAAGTAAGAGAGAGTTGGAGGAAGGGAGCAAAGTATTTTCATTTGTGAAGAGAGTGAAGAAGGAGAAGAAGAAGAGGGTTTTGGTGAAGTTTTTGAGTGTACTAAGATGGGGTTGGCAACGTGCTTCTTTCCTTTTCTCCCATTCTTTATTGTAACACAATCCCTTTCTTTTGCTTTGGCTGCCATGATGGCTTGTGATTCTGAGTGAGAGAGAAAGAGATTTGAAATTTCAAAGCAAAGTAAAAATGTTTCTACTTTTAATGTAATTACCAAGGTGGCCCCTGCCTCTTCAAAAAGGAAACAATACCCTTATTTAATTCATCACTTTCTGGTGCCTTAATCATATTTATCATTGCTACCAAGAGCAGATCACTCACCCAATTAATTGCTCTAAGACATGCTTGGCCTGCCTTTTTCACACTAAAATCATTCTTCATATAATATAATTAGCCTCATCATAAGTCCACCAAAATTTATTAACCAAACTCTCATCTAATTCATTTCTTGTTAAACTTTCATTTCCAAAAGGTTACTATAGTTCCCTGTTTTAAGGTTTTTCAACAACATAACTTTCTTTTTATACATAATAATCATTTTAAATTTGTTTCAATAGTTATTGGTGTAACTTTGTTTCTCATTTTTAATGTATTTTAATGATTCCAATATAGATTTTCTATTTTGAATTTTTGACTCAATGATTTGAATAAGATGTTATTAAGTTGGAGATGGTATAAAAAGATTTATACAATAAGTGAGTGGATCATGATTAGGCTCTTATATTAATCACGAAATGATGTTGTTCGATAGTGTGAAACTTGCACACGCTTGAGAGATAATTTAATAGAAGAGAATGTGTTACATGGCTTTCACGTATTATATCCCTAGCTGGCATCACTCATTCTTCTAACATGTTGAGATTTAATGCCAGGAATTTTAACATGGATGTCTTTTTACATAAATCTAGTCAACATCATGTTAAGATGTTTTTTTATCCTTCAAATCTCAACTTAACTTACTTTTATTCTTTATTTTTTTTCATGTAAAAAATCTCACTATAACATGTTGCCAAATTTCATGTATTTGAAATGTCTTAAAGAATCAACAGAAGTTGCATGAAATCGAACGTATATGGTATTAATTGGTTGCCTGAAATGTATCCTAGTCCTATCACTATCACGTTTGTTCCAATTCAAAGTATATCTAGAAAAGGAGCTATAATTTCCTTTCATGTGGACATCACCATTTGAAAACGCTCTGTGTCATGCATACACTAAAGGACCCATATAATTCTAATAACCCTGAACTTGTGCTGTGCAATTATTACACAAGCTCCTTCATCTTTTCTGTTTATGATTATAATGGGGACTTTCAAAGAAAGGCTTTATCTTCTTTGCTTGCTCCAAATATACTGTGATATTAATTCTTCCCTCTACAACAATGCCAACCCTTCTAAAATCATACAAATTCATACTTGCACAATTATATTTGGAACATTGAGATTAATTGAGCTTTAACGAAAATTGTTGATTAAAATCAGTTTTTAAAGATGTTAAACTTCTAGATACACGATATTCGTTAGACTATCTAGATAGATCAGTCTAATTAGATAATATATAGTGTATTTAACTTAATTAGAGGATTTGATAAATCATCCTTGAGTTTTAATGATATGATTAAATTTTATATTTCTTATAGATGTTTATAAGTGTAGGCTAATTAATATTTATGTTAAATTCCTTGAAAAACTAATTAGATTGATTAAATATATATATATATATTAATATAATTGCAATTCATAATTACGTCTAATTTTAAGGATTAAACGAGTATTATAAAATATAGTTTATTTAATTTAATCAGACCATTTGATAAATATTGAGTTTTGATGATATGATTTAGTTTTAAATTTTTGTAGATGTGGCTAATTGATATTTATGTTGAATTCGTTGAAAAACTATTTGGATGCACTAACTTTATCTATCTATCTATATATATATATATATATATAATTGACAATAGATAATTACGTCCAATTTTAAGGATTAAACGAGTATTCTAAAAATAAAAAGGAATTGTCTATTAGACAATTTACTTATATATAATTTGACCATAAAAAGAACGAGATCATACTACCAAATTTTAATCATAAAATCGATTCTTTCACATAAATAATATTTTTTTAAATATAATAAAATAGGTTTAAGTATTTAATATATTTAAGTATAAGAGATTATAACAAAATAATTTTAAGATAATAAATTAATAAACCATTTTGTATATGTATATATTAGTTTTTTCTCATCAATTTATTTTATGAGAAATTTAAAGTCTCTCACTTTGTTATAACATTAACTAGTACTAATTATTACTCTTGGAAGATTTAAAGAAAAAATGGCTTCTTAAATAAGAGAGCCCCTTCTGTTAATACATTATAAGGTAATTTGAAAACTCTAAATAAAATATGGTTAGAATTATTTTGCCACTTGATGTGTTAGAATATGAATTTGTTGTTAAAGGTGTTGTGTGGTGCGACGTATTTCTATCCCAAGACTCCAAAAGGCTGCAAAAAAGAGAAAAAGACATTATGATTGGAGATGTTGGTTGGCATCTTGCCAATTTTTGTTCAACCAAGATTGTTAATTAGTCACCATAATGCAAATTAATTAACATGCAACTTCTCATGAAAATGCTTCCATTTGCACCTTAATTAAGTGCATATGCTGATATTTAGTCTCAAATTTTCTATATCCTCTGTTAAGAATTCCATATCAAGTTAAAAAGCCTTAACCTATATTTGATTAGCCTGTAATCTAAACATTATCATTATTATTATTATTATTAATGGAATGACTGGGAGGGGGTCAAAAAGAAGAGGTTTCAGACATCTTTTGCTTTTTGTACATTGTAGACCATGGAAATGATTTTCTTCACTTTGGATTGGAACAAAGACCTTCTAATTTAAAGCACTAAGAGATGCTGCTAATGCGTTATGGCGTCTACACCTTTGCCAACTTTACAGGATTTAAGGTCGACTAATATATATATATATAGATCACGACCACTTTCACATTTAAGAATATATCTATTATATATATAACAACCACTTTATATTATATTATATATATATATATATATAATATATATATTATATATATATATTAATCTATATAATTATTAAACCCAGTAAAAAATGAGAATTTCCCCTACCTTGTGTGTGAAGATTGATGAAATAGAATTCTGTAGTATCTTTTTTATTGACTTTCTAGTTTTTATTTGCATTTCAGTGTTCTTTTATTTTTCTCCTTTACTTTCTTATCACCAACAGTGCTTTACAAGTTTTGATCTTTTCATTGCTTCTCTGGTCAAGATTCTTCCAGGAACTATCACAGTAAAGAATCTTCAGGAAGAGATATTCTTCCCAAATTAATAATAAGAAATGCATTTAAGTAATTATAAATATATTTACTTTTATGGTTTTTTTTCACATCACTTATAATATTTATCAGTATATCTTCCTTTTTCTATTTTCTCCTTTATCTTGTTTAAGAAGTGCATTTAAGTAGGTGTAGATATATATCAATCTTATTTTCTTATCTTATGTCATTGTTTTTTTCTTATATATTTTTTACTTCTCTCTCTAAAAAATATATTTAAGTAATGATAAATACATATTAACTCTCTTATCGTCTTTTTATCTTATGTTATTCATTCTTGTTTTTTGTCATATAATTTATCACATTTATCATTTTTTATATATGTGTTCTTTACTTTTTTTTCGTTTCTATTTCTCTCTTCTTTGAAAATGTACTTAACTTTAAATATATAAAATTTTATATTAATTCATTGTATTTGTATATCATGTTTCTCTTTCTTTCCCATCACGTTATATTATCACTAATTTTATTCTTTTTCTTTTCATCTCTCATTTTCAGTCCAAATCCAACCCAAAATAGGATAAATGTTGATTTTTTTTTTGTTTCCAGTTGTTGATGATTATTGGTCAAAGTGGTGTGAGTAATAAAACTGTGCAAGATGATAGAATGGCAAGTAGGTAGGTGTTTGTTTTGTAGGGGAGGAAAACGATAGAAGAGGAAAAAGAAATAAGAGATGTAATATAGTATAAGGATAAGTTTTTAACTAAATTATAACCATGCCTATTGAAGAATATTATTATAGAAGCCGACATTTGAATTGCAAAACTAAAATCAAATGCATTAGTTGGCAAAGCGAAGATATCATGATGCGTGCATGCCAATTCACGTGCAAGCTCTGTTTTCTTTTTTTTTCATTATCTCTTATCTCTCTCTCTCAAACAACACCTCACCCCACGCTCACTTCAGGAATCTCTCAAGGCACATAATCAAAATCTAAATTTATTTGTCCTTAAAAACTACTAGTTCCTCACAAAAATTACGCACATCCATCTAAACCATGAAACTGATGAAATATAAACATATTATTATATTATATATTATATATATATATATATATATATATATATATATATGTGTGTTAAATACAAAATAATTTTCTTGTAAGTCATTGAAAAATTTTCAAAAAAATAAATGGTTTATCTAGTAAAGTATACAATTGGAATAGTTGACTTAAAATTTACAATCTAAAAGTAAGTCGTTACTAACTTTCCAATTGAACAACTTTCCAATTGAAGTCGTCATAAGTCTTAATGACACCTTTTCCATAAAATTATGAAAAAAGTGAAGTTGTTATGAGTTATGATAACTTCTTTGTAATATATTGAATAAAAGTTACTAGAGGGTGACGACGTTTAATTTATAGGATATCGTTGAAAGTGGTAACAACTTTTAATTTATAGGATATCGTTCACAATAGTGACGACTTTCGATTAAACCAAAATAATCCTAACTAATGACGAATTTAGTTATTCATTTTTACAAAAAGTCATCAAACTCCTGCCATTTATTCTTAAAAATGCAAATTTACCCTAATAAACTATAAGAAGTAAATTACCAAGTTTTGAAAATTTACCTAAATCATTAAATGTCATTTTTTTTAATTTTTTTTAATTTTTTTAATACAATAGTGAAACTCGAACATGTCAATCAAATGGTGTGTTGGTGTTAAAGAATTATTGGATATATATACAACACTTGCATCATATATATTATTGAATTATCCAATTCAAAAATAAATTTAATATAATTCCAAAGTTAATAATAACAAATACAATTATTTTCTAAAAACTCATATTTTAGTGAGAATGTTTTATTTAATCTCCTTATATGTCTTCTAATGAGAAAATTCTTTAAGTTATTTGTCATAACCATTAAATTCAACCGTGAGTGGAAATCAGGTGTAGGTGTAAGGGCTTAGAAAATTCAGAAAGTGGAAGACAGGTGTGTATAGTTGATTGGCCGATCGGTTTTTGACGGTAGTATATAAGTAAATTTTTCAAACGTTGAGCCACTTTTGCATGCACCTCTTCTCTCCAAACTTTCTGAGTTTCTCCTCCTTCTCTCTACAATTCTCCTTCTTCTCTCCATAAATTCTCACTTTCTCCTTCTTCTGATCATCATCTAGGTCGTGTCTAAGTTCTTCCTTGGTGGCAAGAGTTTACCTTCCCATCAACCTAACTGTTGTATGAAGTAGGTAAGTAAATTCTCTCGTTCGTTGAAGTTTCTGTATTTTTTGATACATTCAAGCACTGTTCAGCTTGCATGTGTTCTTCATCTATCTCTCTCTGAATATGTTTCTGTCTTTGATCCTCTAGTTGGTCCCTTTTCACCGATCGGAAATTTAGTAGGTTGCTTTAGAAGTGATTGTTGGTTAGTCAAAGTGGTGGAAGCTTAGAAAGTGCCTAGTTTATTTAGGTAAGGGAAGCTAGTGATTTAATTATATATTTCTGTGTTTGGAATTGATGTGTGAATGCTTGCATGTATGAATAATGGTATGTTTGATTGAATTGTATTCAAATCTGTGTTTGGCCGAGACATGTGAACTGGGCTGGAGTTTCCTATGGTAGAACGTTCGTCATTTCTGGTTTGGGAAAGAGAGTATGTGAAAATGTGAGTTGTGAGCAGTGTGTAATAGGTTCAGTGGAATAGGTTTAAAATAACAGAAATCAAATTTGGTGGTTTAGAAATTAAGTGAAATATCTTGTTTTGATTGAAGAGGTGTTATTCAGAATTTTGTTGGTCGACCATTCGGTTGTGTTACGTACTCAGTCAGTAACTGGGTTCGGTTTAGTAGAGATATTATTTATTTATGACCGTTCGGTCTAATCATAGTGTTCTGATATTAAACTAGTGTTCGGTCTGGATAGAGTATCCAGTACTCTCTAAGTACTCAATTTTAGTATAAGTGTTCGGTCTAAGTTTTTAAGAGTCGGTTTGAGTTATGATGTGCGGTTTGAGCTCTTCGAGTTGGGCTAAGTTCCTATTAGTTGGTTTCTTTAGTGGTCGGTCAATAAAAGTGTTCGGTCATTTCCTTATGTTCTATTTCTTCTAAACCGTTAGGTCCTCTCGGTTGGGTAGTGCGAAGGTGTTCAGCTTCCAATGTTCACATGTTCTCTTTATTCTATGAATGGAAATATAACTGATGAATGATAGATTATGTTAAATATGAGAATTGTGACTTTTAAATATTATGGAAGAGAATTCCAAGGATGAATGTCTCGTGTATGAGTATTGAATTGTAAAGTAGAATATGGATATGCTAAGCTGGTGTTCATCCTGAAAATATATGAGTATCATTCTCACATAAGAGAGGTATTTCATTTGTGAGAATAGCAGAAGTCCTACCACCTCAGGGTGTCGAGGTAGGTATTATGGGATTAACCTTGGGTAGTAGCTTGAGTGTTGCTGCTGTTACACTACCACAGTACAAGGACGACTGTACTACATATTCATACAATCCGGATGGTCAAGTCATAATGTTCGGTTTATATATATATATATCATCTCTATGTGTGTGTGTGGTGTGTGTGTGTGTGTGTGTGTGTGTGTGTGTGTGTGTGTGTGTGTGTGTGTGTGTGTGTGTGTGCGTGTGTGATGTGTGAATGGTAGTGTTCGGTTTGTATATGATTAATTGTATTCAGTGTTTGCATGATGTACCGTTCGGTTTCGTATGAATTGAACTTGTATGAATTGTATACATGTATTTATAATTAAATTACATTAGCTTATCATACTTTCTTGTTTTGTCTTGTGTTGTTCGTACGGTTATCTTTTCTTTTGGAATGATCATCCTGTGGATGTGAGCAGAAGGCGATGAGTGTTCGGTGGAGCAAGCGTTGGAAGGCGATGACCCTATTGCTTAAGTTAGGACCATTCGGTCATCAATTGTGTATAGTTTTAGATTGGACCGTTTGGTCAATAGGTTTGACTTATCTTTCGTAAACCTATAGGTATTATTAATCTATAATATGGTATTATGCTATATTTTGGGATGTTACATTATTAATTTTCTGTTTTATATGAATATTCTACTAAAATGGTTTTTTTTTCATGAAAGAATAAAATGTCTTAAATAAATTATATTCTCCTTTCACTTTTTAGATGTTATGAACTAAACTTATTTATGCATTAAGTGACGATATCTTTATATTATTATATTTTACCAATGTTATTTATAAATGATTTTGAATACACTAGTTAATTTATATAATCATAATTATTAATTTTTGCGTCTCCATATCTTATACTTTAAAGACTAAACTTATCGAATTGTTTATATTCTTGTCGTTTTTAATGTCCATGTCTCCATATCTTATATATTTGAAGACTACACTTATCCAATTATTCATATTAGTGTCGTCTTTAAGATCCACATCAGTTAATAAAATCCAAATAATATATAAGAGTTCATTTTACTACACCGATTTTGAATAATTGAATTAAACTTATTAAAGTTCACTTTCATAGGAATAAGTACAATTTTGATTGTTGTACATGACTCCCCCATTCGATCAAATTAAAAAAAAATGTACAAGTAAAAACTAAATTGAATTTTCTTTCATATATATGAGATTTAAAATGTGTTACCGCATCCAAACCCAGTTTGAAAATGGGTGTGAAGTATAAGATCGGAAAATCAGAATTTAACGAGTTCCTTCTCCACCTATTAAGTATAACATTAGTGAACTTACGAGGGAGAGAAAAGGAGCTATAAATGATGGAGAAGTTTAGCTCAGTGATTCTCAGATTCTCCTGAGCATTTCTTGCTCCAACCACCTGAACACGCTTTGCGCTCCCCACGTTTTCTTTTGTTCTTCGGGATGCTCACATCGTTATACACACAGGGCTTCAGGGTTGATTGTTCTTGAGCCAATGTATTAATATCTGACATGGGAACAGACACAAGATTCAAATTTTCTTCCCCTTCACCTTTCTCCCAGTTCTGAAGCCTCTCCATCGGAGGCTGACTTCCACTTTTAAAGGTGTGCTCATCAGTTTCAGCGACTTCATGTATCAAGACATTGTCCACCATCTGCGGCCATACATGTCAAAACTTAATGCCTCAAACTTGCAAATTTATGCTTTTAGCAGTGCCATAATCTCACACACCACCTTCAATAGTTACAGAATCATTGGTGAAAAGGATTCAGAACATAATAATACCTCAAAAGAAATGTCAGAAAAAGAAACATTGGTGTACAGTTACATGCTGGATGGTTATACTACATGCATCCCCATGCATTACTTTCTTCCATACGACAAAGTCTCAAGCTTGGTGCAAATTTCATCAACACGTGTCCCCTCTTAATGAACATGTCGGTAAATTGGTTGTTTTAGAGCTAGCAATGTAAGTAATAGCAAAGCTTCACACATCAATTTGGTGTGTGAAGATTTTGTGTCGAGGGGGCGGCACAGCTGCAGGTGGCCGTGAGTCAGACACATAGCGGTTGCCAAAGAAAAGGGCAGATCCAATCGTAGGGTTATGTTAGAGGATAGATGAGGACTGTAAAAAGCTAAAAAGAAAAAACCTCAGATTGAAAAAATGCTTAAGCAAAAATGTTCCAAGGGCACAAAACTACCAGAGAGCAAAAAAAAATACTTGAAGAGTGCAATGACTGCCAAAGAGCATAATTCTCAGAGGGCATGGTGGTTGGGAAGAGCGTGACAGTTATCAGAGATAAAACATGCTTAGAGGGTGCGGTCTGCTAAAGAGCAAAAATGGTCAAAAGACACAGCAGCTGCCAAAAAGAAAAAATGCTCACAGGTTACAACAATTATAAAAGGCAAAAAAATATACTTGGATAGCCTGACAGCTTTGGAGAGCAAAAAATATTGAGAATGCAATAGCTGCTAGAGAGAAAAACCTACTCAAAGAGCACAGAAACTGTCAGAAAGTAACAAATGTTCCAAAGAGCATAGCAACTGCCGTAGAGAAAGTAGCAAATGTTCCTTTGAGACACAACAGAGACTCAGGAAAGTGGCAGCTGCCAGAACAGAGGCTCGTAGTGCATGGCAGTTACCAGAGAACATGGAGGCCAAAGACCACAGCAGTTGCTAGAGGGAAAAAATGCTCAAAGGGTGGAGCGGCAATGAAAGAGAAAAAAAGGCTTAGAGGGTGCAGCAGCTGGCAAATAACAAAAATGCTTGGAAGACATGACAGATGTTGGATGGCGAAAATGCTCAAAGGACCCGACAACTACCGAAGGGTAAAAGTGATCGGAGGATGCAGCAATTGTCAAAGTTGACCATTGAGAAGAGAGAAACCTAAAGACAAATGATTAATTTTGGGTGCTTAGACCACAACGGATGTATTCAATTTTTAGGAACACCATGGTAATACAATATTCAGTGAGCTTATTTTAAGCTAATAACATCAATATAGAATCAATCCCATTGATCCTAATATGAACATTACTATATCTATGGGATTCTAATATATCTACAAGATTCTAACAGTAACAATGAGGAATAAATCACAGAAAATTGTTTACCAAATCAACAATACAGATCAGTGGACACAAAAAGATGAAAAGAAAGCTTTTTCTATTGAATTTTATATAAAACACTTTTCTGCCATCACCTGGAAAGGAATTGGCAGAATTATAGGAAGAACTAAAACTGTGTTTACACAGGTTGAAGAAACTTACAGCTTCGCACGAGTCCCCAGCCAAGGCTGAACGAAAGGTGACATCAGCAGCAGACAATAAGCCAACGGTACTCTCAATTATATCAGGAACCATTGGAACTTCTCCATAACTTGACACAACACTATGCATAACAAAATCTCCAATATCAAAGTCAACTCCGTGCTGAATTGAATTATAAATAACCCCGACAGAAGCAGCATCTCCATTCCCTGCAGAGATTGTAGGGCTTTGGGCAGAACTAGTCTGCATATCACCATGAGGAAGAAGACTCAGATTTTCTGATGAAGAAAACTTTGATGCATTTTTCGACATTATTGCATCAACATCACTCTTCAGCTTGTGGACCCTAGCCTGTAGATTGTCTATTGCCCAAAGAAGCTGCTCTAATGAAGCATCAGTTTCACTGAAATCCAAGAAAGGTTGAACTTCCCCAGTGCCAAACCTATCTGTTGAATCAGTATGTGGATCTATGATCACTATACCAAAAGACAGTATAAAAGCATTAGTCGTGAATCAGATGCAAGTCAAAATGTGATTAAGAGGCAAATGATAGGTAGGCTAAATCTTCCAATAATCAAAACAATGAAAGATAATTCTACACACAACCACTGACTGACAATTTAATGGTGTTGAATAAAACAGTTTTTTTCATTTGTAACCCTATCTCCTAAGGGAAAAGAATACAATAGATACTAATGACATCACTGATTTAATGGACAGCAGCAAAACATTAGGTCGCTTTAAAAAATAAAATTTCTAACCTGGATTACCAAAATCATCAGCCAAACCACCGTCATGATCAGACTTCTTATTCTCTACAATATAAGTAAAGGAATGAGTCTCACACATCTCTAACCCCTTGTTCACTTGAATGGATTTGGGGAAGAGTGATTGAATGGATTTGAGAGGATTTGAAGGTAAATTGTTTTTGTTGTTTATTTGAGTGGATTTGGAGATAAGTGAGGTGGATTTGGAAGTAAATTTTTTAATCTGTCACATCAATCAAATCCTATACCAATTCTCACAAACTTTACTTCCAAATCGACTTTAACTTACCTCCAAATCCACTCAAATAAACAACAAAAAATTTACCTTCAAATCCTCTCAAATCTATTCAATCACTCTCTCCCAAATCCATTTAAGTGAACATAGTGTAATGAATGGACGGGAGATTGGTAAACAGCATGAAAAGATAAGAAAATTAGGTATCAAGGATATATGAGTTGTACCAAGATAGGAGAAAATATAATGATGTGATGTATATGATCCAATTTCAGTTGTGTCTTCAACTTTCTTCCTTTTTCTTCTCTTGTTGGCCTTATTTCTACTATGTTCACCCAAAAACGGCAATGATTTTGAACCAAACTCTTCTATGGAAAATTGATCAGGTGTTGTATGTTTACCCTTGTCATATTCTGCAAGCTCTTTACTATATTTTAATGCTATTGAGTCAATTTCCTTAATTCTTAGTTCTGTCCATTTGCATCGCCATGTTAGAGGTCTTATAAAGTTCCTCCAATGATCGGTCAACCTCCTCTTCCTACAGTTACACAGCAAAAACGTAATGTATCAAACAAAAAAGTCCATGTACATGCTTCACCAAATAACCAGGTAGGGTAGTATACCACATCCCCACTACCAATTCCTAATTAGCTTATGGAAGCATGGTTTGATCATTAATGATCCCTAAAAAAGACATTAATGATGACAGACCACACAAACAGTGGTGATAGGTTTTTCAATAACAATCTTCATTAGATGCGAACCAGAAATTATATGCCTAAGAGTTATTACTATAACTATATTAGATGAACAATTATCTGGATTTAATTAATAACATAAATTGAAGTGCATTTAATATCTAAGGAGTTCCATGAAGGCAAAGTGGGAAAATAACCTATGCTCTTACTGAAACATCAAACCAACACACAAAAAACAACTGGAACCTTTAAATTTCACACTAACATTATTTTAATAATCATTACCAAAGTAGTGCAGAGATATGTTAAGATTTTTACTTGCTAAACACCCACTACCTAATTTGAACCTTGAGTATAATATGAATTTTATACGTAACTTTAAATCAATTTTCAATAATTTCAAGTGACTTGGGTTCATTAGATATTGATACCAAGATTATGTGCAAGCAAATGAATATAAAATTTACTGGTTTGGAAGAAAAGTCACCTCATTGGAAATGCAGAACCATCAAAAGCATCTGTTAAGCTACCACTGTCACCTAAGAACTCAGACTCCACTTCAGCATCACTCAATCTAGAACCATTTTCCGCATCAGACGTAGTATCAGCAAACGAACTTGAATAGTCAGTTGCATCAGGGTCCTCAAATTTGTTGGATGCAAAATCACCCTTGTTTGCCCAACTCACTATATCGACTTCTGTGTCCTCCAAAACTTTTGTAGTATTAATTTGTTCATCTAGAAAGGGTTCCACCTTAATGATGGGTTTCTCACAGTGACCCATTTTACTCAAACCCTTATATTGCACCTTTTTTGCAAATTATAAAGTGGATTTTGATTCACTCATTCTATAATTAAAAAGTAGGGAAGGGTGAGTAGGGACATCAGATTGTCTTTCACAAACTTAGCTCCATTAAAAGTTTTCCTGATAACGTTCAGAATTGTTCAGGTACATGAGCAAACTCAACAAATAGAAAATCAACTCCTTACATGAACTTTTGAAATTGATACATAGAAAATAACAAAACAAATAATAAATAGAATAGCAGCTTCTACCACACAAAAAAGAATATAAAGTCTAAATTTTCAAAGGACTTTTGCTTAATTAGGAAGTTACAGGGTCCTAGTCCCTCCATAGTTTCCTAAACATATAGCACAGGTTTCCTCCCATAATAATTACTTACAGCCAAGAGCCTCATTTAAAGTTCAGAATCTATGCGAAAAAAACTAAATAGCAGAATAAAGACACAAATGAAAAGTATATAAAACAAATTGCTAACCAATAGTATTCAGACACACATTGCGCGAAAAATCCAAAAACAAAGTCGGCGGTGCCAAACCAGGTTTTGATGATATACTATAGTTAAAAAGCCTCCAAGTCAATATAAATTTAACATTTAAAACACGAGATTTAATTGAGATGATAAAGCATGTATAATCTTTTAGAAAAAAAAAAATAGGTTAGTTCCTCTCACTTTTTTAGAAAATCCCTTCAAAAGATCTTCTATTTAAATAACCTCTCACACACGCGCACAAAATTGTAACTTTCAAATTCCATTTGAAACTTCAAATCCATGTTCGTCCCTCTATAAAAAAACCAGCAGTTACTTACACAGAAATAACAATAATCACGAATAAAGGAAGGGGTAAAACCTGCAAGAAGAGTTACTCACACAGAACAAAACAGAGTAAACCGCAAAGTGATCAACCATATAAAAATACTCCAAACTTCGACGACACAAACAACTCACCATAAATTTCAGTATCACATACCAACATCTAAAACCTCACCACCATTCACTACACACAATTAACTCAATGCGCACCGAAATCGAGAAAACTTAAGCATAGGCAATTGCAACACAAAACAGAGACTCGGAAAAAGTGCAGACATCAACACACAAACACTTTCAGTAGAAGGAGAATAAGAGCACAGTGACGGAAAAAGTAACGAAAGTGTGTAGAAGTGAGGGTGGAATGGAAGTTTTAGAGGTGAAACTGAACGTGCATGTGGTGAGAGAGAGTGTGGAAAGTGAAAGAGAAGTTGAGAGAAAGTACCAAGAGAATGAAGAGAGATTGAAAATGGCGAGTTGGCGGCGTGAAGCGCAACAACAGAAGTGAGTAGTGGCAGCAGCTGTAGTTAACGTTATAAACCTAGGAAGAGTGGAAAGGAAACGGAGGTTGCCGCTATTTATATATTGGAACATTGGAAGTTGCCGTTCCTTGTCTTCACACGTGTCAGCCACTACCCTAACAATTGCACGCTTTTATTACCACTCTCTTCTTCAAATTTATTTATTTTTTTCTTTTTTTTTTTTACTTAATCTTTAACTCTTGGTTGATTAATTTAGTAAATCCTTGTGTTAGGTTTCTTAGGGTTTAAATTATTTTTAGATCTCAATTTACGTTTAAGTGTTTTTCTTATATTTCTTTGATCTGAAAATACGATTTTAAAAGTAAAAAGACTAAAAATGGAATTTGATATGAATATTGACAGTGCAAAATTAAATTATTTTACATTATTATAGAAAAAAATCAAGTTGCATTCCATGTTAATATTTTATTTTTAAAAAACCGTTTCAAATAAAAATAATAATTGCATTCTCCTTGAAAATAAAGAGGCATTGAAAAAAACAGATTAAAAAATGGAATGTTAGAATTTTGAGATGAAAGAAGAGGATTTTTTTTTTTATTCACACAAATTAAGAGCTGTAACATTTTATGAAGATATTATGGACATGAAAATATATAGTTATATTAAAACTGTTTTACTTTACATATCCCAGATATTAGTTATTTTAGAACATATAGTTATGATGATAAATTAAATTTTAAGCAGTTTAATCAGTGTGTTAATATCATTAAATGTCAATTTAATACCATTAAATTTCGTTAGTATTTAATTTGAGTATATTTAATCAAACGGCCATGAAAAGTTGATGTCTATATTAATCATCCGTATAATAAATAAATTACAATTAAAATATGCTAGTGTGCGTGTCTAAATTATATATTATATATAATAATATAATTAGTCTCTTAAAGTAGAGTATTATGAATTTATAAAATTACTTACGTGTTTATAAAATCAATTTCACAAAAACATTTTAAGATAACTAATTCAAAAAATAAATTTCAAAATAGCATTAATATAGTACTAAATGTTATATATATATATATAGGTTTAATTGCTTCCTTTGTCCCCAGTTTGGTTGAATTGTGTCAAATTCATCTTCATTTTTTAAAAAGTTTCATTATCGTCCTCACGTGGTGTAAAAGTGTCAATTGAATCCAAACATAGAAAAAATTTGTGTCAATGTAGTCATCTCCGTTAAATACACACTAACTGCGTTAAGTGGTTGATTATTTGGCACTAGAGAATTAAAACGTGGCAAATGAGTCACAGTAGTGGTAATGACGTGTCAATGAGATATTTGAGAACATGGAAATAGGTTATTGAATTGGGGAAAATGAGAATGGGCGTAGAGAATTTAATGAACGTGTCAATGAGATATTTGAGATACCTGCAGTAGAGAATTTAATGTGCGTTTAGTGACATCAAAATGGTTAAGTGGGAGGTTAGAGAAGACCATAAAAGAAAATCCCAATATTAATTTGACTAACCTCCAAAACAAAGTTTCTAAGAAATGGAATATTAATATGTCTCGGTCAACAACCTTTAGGGCAAAGAAAATGGCACACAAGAAAATTGAAGGTGATTTTGAAGAACAATATAAAAGGGTATATGACTATGTCAATGAGCTGCTTAGGTCAAATCCTGGATCAATTGTCAAAGTTAGTGTAGAACCTAATGAGGGGAACCAAGTATTCAAGAGACTTTATGTTTGTTTGAAGGCATGTAAGGTGAGTTTCATATCATGTAGGCCCATTGTAGGTTTGGATGGGTGTTTCTTGAAAGGGAAATATGGCGGTGAATTGTTAACAGCAGTTGGAAGAGATGGTAATGACCAAATGTTACCTTTGGCATATGCTGTTGTGGAGGTGGAGAATAAGGAAACCTGGACTTGGTTTTTGGAATTCTTGATTGATGATCTTGGTGGTGTTGAAAATTGTTCAACGTATACATTTATCTCAGATCAACAAAAAGTAAGTTATATTTCATTGTTTTTTATTATGAGACCTTAGTCTTCCATGTTCATGTTCAGTAAATTTACTTTTATCATTTGATAGGGACTTCTGCCAGCAATACAAGAACTTCTACCTCGTGTTGATCAAAGGTTTTGTGTCCGCCACATATATGCAAATTTTAGGAAAAAATATCCTGGAAAAAATCTGAAACGTCTATTATGGAAGGCAGCATCATCAACCCATCCTCAAGCATGGGAGGCAGTCATGAGAGAAATAAAAGATGTCAATGTAGAGGCCTTTAAGCACTTGATAGCTATTCCACCAAGGTATGTTTTCAAGAGTGTTAGCCATGTCAATTATTTAGAACTGTTTGGTTGTGTTATAAATGTGTGTGTTTTTCTTTATATAGATTTTGGTCAAGGTCAAGGTTTACACCTACAGCTGCTTGTGACACCCTAGTAAACAATATCTCTGAAGCTTTTAATAGTGTGATCTTGGATGCAAGGGCTAAGCCCATCATAACAATGATGGAAGACATTCGTATGTATCTAATGAAGAGATGGGCAAGAAATAGAGAGAAGATAAGGTCATATGAAGGTTCCTTTTGCCCCAAAATTTATAAACGATTTCAAAAGGAATTAAACAACACAAAATATTGGATACCTAGGTATGATTTCATAATATGAAGTTTTATTTGTTTTAATTTCTTTACTTTACTTACTCACTTGAATCCAAATTTCATTTTCCAGCTGGTCAGGATTGAAATTATTTGAAGTGAGACACACTTCCAACATTGGTGACAAGTTTGTTGTTGACATAGATAAAGTGGACTGTAGTTGCAGGAAATGGAGTATAACAGGAATCCCATGCTGTCATGCCCTCACTGCCATGACATTTTTAAACATCAATGGAGAAGACTACATCTCACATTGGTTTACAAAGTCAACCTATGAACAAACATACTTTCCAATGATATATCCAGTCCACGGTGCTCATATGTGGGAAATGACTTCAATGCCTGATGTGTTGCCTCCACCTAAGAGAATTTTGCCTGGTAGACCGAAAAAGAAAAGAAGATTAGAGCCTTGGGAGCTTAAGAAAGATGACACTCAACTAAGACAAGGTGGAACACGTAAGAGATGTGGCATATGTAGAGAGCTTGGACATAAAAGAAATAATTGTCCACAAGCTGCCCAAGCTGCTCCAAGAACTCCAAATGCAACTCAATCCAGTCAAATTACTCAATGCGAGGTTGAACAACCCCAACAAAGTCACCCATCAACAACAGCACCTCAGACAACTTCAACACCAGCTGACCCAACTGCCACAGCACCTTCAAACTGATTTAGAAAGTCATTAGCTATTATTAATATGTATTTTGGTACTTTGTTTCGGCTAGCACCTTTTTTTGGATACAAACTTCAATATGTATTGTGTGCTGATGTATTATTTGATGAAGCAAAGTATTGTCTGTTCAATGAATATGATGTCCAGTTTGAAGCACAGTTTCTGATGTTATATTCAATGTGCCGTTTGAAGCACA